TGTTAATTTTGCTTCCTAATAAAGAGACTTGGGTAATTTGAGCGACATAAGAAACTCTTCCACTACGAGTAATTTCCACCTGAATATCTTCAACTCGGCTTAGTGCTACCGAGGCTGGAAATTTATAAGCCAAGGCTCAGCGGGGAAAGCGATTAGTTTGTCCTAATTTTTTACAATATTCATAATTATTAACCTTGATCACAATTCCATCAATTTCAAATTCTAGATTACTTCGCTGTTTCTCGATTTCTTGAAAATATGTTTTAATCTCTTCTAAGCTTTGGCAAACTCGATAATAAGGGCTGGCTTGAAACTTTCATTGAGCTAACTTTTCTAAGCAATTCAATTGATTGCTTACGGCATCTGTTCCGAGAATTTGATAAGCAAAAAAGTGCAATCTTCTTTGTTGGGTAGGAATTAAAGTTCGAAGAGTCCCGGCTGCGGCATTACGCGGATTAGCCAAAGGAGGCAATCCTTTTTTTTTTAGTCCCTCATTTAAGCGCTGAAATTCTGCTTTTTTCATGTAAATTTCACCCCGAATTTCAATATTTTCTCTTGTTTCTCCCGGCGGGGAAAGTTCCAGATTTTGGGGCAATGTATTAGGCAAATCTTGAATTAAAGAAAGATTAATACTTACATCTTCTCCGGTTCAACCATCTCCGCGGGTAACTATTTTTTTCAACTCCCTTTGTTGATAATGCAGGCTCGCTGACAAACCATCAATTTTCAATTCACAAAGATACTCTATCTGTTTAAGTCCTAATTTTTTTTTTATTCTTTCCTCAAACTTTTCTAATTCTTCATACTTATCCGTGCTTTCTAAACTAAGCATGGGAATTTTGTGTTTAAAAGAGTGAATTTTCTTTATAATCCTGGCTCCTATTTTTTGGGTTGGCGAATTAGGCAAAATGAAATCATACTTTGTTTCAAGTTCTTTTAATTCTTGGAAAGTTTGGTCGTAAATTTTATCATCAATTGTCGGTTTGTTTAATACATTGTACTCGTAGTTTCATTTTTCCAATAATTTAATTAATTGCTGCATTTTTATAATAATTTCTTCTGACATATGAAACTTTTTATCCACAAAATCAAAATAAACACTATACTTAAAACTGTTCATAAGTATCTTTTAGCTTTAAATTCACTGTAAAAATTATAATGCAGTTTAGCTTTTGAATCTGGATAAAAATTTTTATCATCATTCAATTCCAGCAATAAAAACTAAAAAAGTGAAAAATATTTTTGTTAATTTCTTTGTTTAAAGAAGCATGAATGCAATCGTTCTTTTTGCTCTTTTTTACTATTTTATCTATTTCCTTTAAATCCTTTCAATTTTGCTAACAATCCCCCAATACTTACTAAACTCACTAACAATAAACCAATTCAAAGCATTCTTTCTTTGTTTGGTTGTTTAACTATTTCTCGTGGCTGAATTGCTTCTAAATTATTTAAATTTTGTTGTAAATGTTTTTTAATTTCACTGCTTTTTATTTGACTTAATTGTTGATAACTATTAGCAGCTTTTATTTTTTGGATAGATTCTGGGGATAATTTAATATTAAGTTCTTTTTCAAGGAGGTTTAAATCAATCTCTTTAATATTTTCTAAGCTTTCTCCAAAAGGAGTATTATTTTCTCCCAATTCTTTTTCCAGCCTAATAATGGTTTCTTGAGCCTGATTTAATTTGTTTTCTAGTTCATCATTAGAGAATTCGGCATAAATAGTTTCAGGAGGTTTATTAATTAATTCCTTAATTTTAGTGATTAATTGTTCTAAATTAGGTTCTTTTAGGTTTAAATTTAAGGATTGATTGATTTGGTGGAGGATTTGTTGTTCTTTTTGTTCGCTGGCTTGATTAGCATTTTGATAATGATTCAAACCACAAGGAGAACAAGCATGCGAAGCTAGAATTGGGCAGACATGATTATTTAGTTGGTTTTGTAAATCATTCCGCTCTTGCTCAGCTTGTTGGCGTTTTTGCTTTTCTTCATTTAATTCTTGGTCTTGTTTTGCTCAATATTTTTCTAGATCTTCTATTCAACCAGTTAGTTTGATATGTTTATGATCGTGAATTTGTTTTTTTTCTTTGTTGGTTAATAACCGACGAAGTTTATTCTCAACGTTTTTTAAGTGATGATCTTTTTGGCTAATTTCTTGAACTTGGGCTTTTGATTCATTTTGCGTGGTAGTTAAGTCATGCTGCGCTTGTTGCAAGTTTGGCTTGTGCTTGGGTAAATTTGTGCGGATGGTATTACGTTCGTTCTGTTCTTGAGTTAAATCCGCCTGCGTTTTTTGTAACTGAATCTCAACTTGATTTTTAACATTTTCTAAATTAACAATAGTTGTTTCGGGCTGAGTAGTTTTGTTGCTTAAGTGTTCTTTAATTTGCTTTTCTAGTTGTAGGTTATGTTTTTCTGCTTTATCTAAGTTAGCAGTTAACTGAGAAATTTCTTCTTTATTTTTAAGAAGGAGTTCAGAGATTTTATTGTCTTTCTCTTGATTAGTTTGATAAAGTCTATTAATGACTTGAATATTTAGGTCATTTTCATCCTTACATTTAGATAAATCAGAAGTTAATGGTAAAAAATCTGTCGGGTTAGCAAAAGGAGCCTGGCAGATATCATTAGAATTATGCTTGCCTAACTGATAACCAACTCCTCCGGCAGCTAAATGAGTGGCAGCCAATCCTGCTACCAAGGTTCTTTTAGGATGCTTAATGTTTTTTTTGAAAGCAATAAAAGCCTTGTCAATGCTTTCTTTTATTTGATAAGTTTTGTTTTTTCCTCATTCGGTTCAAGATGGTCGATTATTTTCAGGTAAATCAACAATATGGT